CCATCATCCCTTAGAGATTCCCAGACATCTGCCCTTCCTCACGCCGCCTGTGGAACAGCACAACTTGTACACGTGCCCCTGAGACTCCACCATGCTCTGCCCTCCAGCAGCAAGGCCAAGCCAGTTTTCCATTTAAAAAACGCTTACTAAAGATCCTAAGAGCTCCTATCAGTTCTTTTGGTTAAAAGAAAGTCTTGCTAAGATGGAACAAACCAAAATTAAGGCTGCCCTGTGTTATTCTGACTCACCCATCCTATAGCACTAATCAAGATCCATCTGATTACTCTCACAGTAGCTGTGGGCAGATGAGTTCTCTCAGCTCCAACTGTGCTGAGGAAAAAATGTTCTCTCTTAAGGCTCCTTCCCCTTAGTTCTGCTACAGGAGTCTCAAGGGTGAGGGTACCAAAATGCCCTGGTTAGAAGAGATTTACTGAGCTGGAGATCTTGGCCTTTTAAGTCCTTCCTTTTCCTCTGCTTCATGGGTGGGGTAATTCTGAGAGAAAATGAGGACCCAGCGCTTAGCAAAGCCATAGGAGAAGGCCTGTGTTTTGTTTTCAACAGATTACACAATGAATAGTGTGTGAGATGTGAGCAGCTGGAAAAGAAAAAGATAACCTAGGGTTACAACACGGAGCCAATAACAAGAGCTCCATCTTTGCCCAACAATGCCTGTTTTAGGGTGCTTCTCTCTCAGTACCTCCCCTACAATTGCTGTATCCATGCAGAATTCCTGAACAGCACCTGTCCCACCTGCTGTGGGAAGGGAGGACAGAAGCAGAACCTTTACAGGTTAACAATCCTACCAAAATGCCTGTCCAACATTTGAAGTGTCTCTTACAATGAGTTTACTCACAACTGCAACAGGATTTCTACCCTGAAGGGTAAAATGCAGATTTTATGTAATTTTACAGTACTAGTACTGATCGAAACAAAAAAATGGTTTCTTAAAGCAACCCAGCACGAGCACAGACAGGCCCAGTTATATTTAAATCTCTCGCTGCCCACAAGAACTTATTTATCCTGTATCTCTAACCCACTCCAGTGACTCTAGATTGTGTGCTCGCTCCACACTCCTCACGTTCCAGCAGGTTTGAAGAAAGTCCATCACTTTTCTGCCCCCCCTCTTTTTGTTTTTCCTTCAGGAAGAAAATCTTTTGGTAACACCCCTGGTTTCTCCCTTTCTGACCACCGCACACACCTGCTGCAAAGACACTGATAACACACTTAAAGGTTTGGATTTGCCAAGTCAGCTGAACACCAAGAACAGCATTGTGTACAGCTCAGCTTGGCCCCAGTGACTGAGGGGCTGACGTGCAGTGAGGTGAAACCCAAAGGGAAGTCGAAAAGAGGAAGGAAATGAGGAAACTTTACCAGAAAAGTATGTTACATTCTGTAAAAAGAAAGCTCCACTGCAGAGTCAATCAAACCTTTGCTAGTCCATCCTCCAACCTCAGTTTACTGTCCAGACAACCTGGACACTCATTCAGCTGTTTTTCAGGCACGTGGTACTGACCAAACTGATTTTAAAAAGAGCACCTTTCCCAGTTCCAAGTGCTCTGCTTCCCCCATGGCACCCTTCATGCTCAACAGACCTGCCAGAGCTCCAAATCTGAGCCTCTACCTCAAAATCAGCAGGTTCTCTAGACTGGCCAGTGATCTTTCAGGTGAATCACGTGTTTACAAAGAGACTAAAGATAAAGGATGGAGCACACAGAGAGTTGCAGGCTCAGAAGGGAAGCTACAGCCAGCAATCCCTGCTTTCCCCTTATGACAGGGACCCACTCATTTTTAGAGAACAAAGTAATCTGGGGACTCTGTGTAAAACTGTAAAACTTCAAACTCCCAAAATGCACTAAACAAGGCACCTTTAACCTGCAGACCTTTCTTTCTCTTTCTGATCACCTCTTTGCTATTCAGGCAACGAACTGCTTTGAGATGAGCCCCTGGACAGCATTAACAGGTGGTATCTGAGCCAGGGTTTATGAAGGAGCAGTAGCAGAATTCAATGGGAAGCTGTTTCACTTCATAATACAATTCACATTGTGAGGTACAACATGTTTCCATTATGAAACTATAAAAATATATTCCCAGAGTCTGAAACAAGTTCAATAATTTACACTGAAGATGCAAAAGGGATCAGGTGTTATCTAGGAAGACCTGTCCCAGTACTGCAAGCTTGGAGTTAAAAGATTGACTGGGGCAACTCAGGAGGGAGTGTGAACTCTTCTTAGAGTTCTCTCTCCTCTTCTCTCCAGCTTTCTCTGCATCTTCAGGGTCTTTTGCACTCTCCCCTTCACCGGGGTCAGAGGGTCTTCTCAAAGTGAATTTCTTGGTTTTCTTCAGTGAGTAGAACTCCCGCATCAAGTCTTCCACCTCCCACTGCTCCTCCTTGCGCTTCCTGCAGCAGTGCAGGGCAGCAGGATCGATGGGATGAGCCTCTGTGTTGAAGATGTATCCTCCAGCATTCAAGACACACTCCCCATATGGCGTAACCACCACGTCGAAGTCGGACCCATCGCTGTGGATGAAGTTGTCTGGGTCAAACAGCAGGTACAAGTATTTGATTGTTTCAGCCAAAAAGAAGGATTCCATGCGATTATCCAGCCTGTGATCCCTCAAGTCTTTGATCTACAAGGGAAGAAATAGAGTGGGTTACAGTTATGTCAAATTCATTAAGGTTATGAACTCAGAGGGGGGAAATAAAACCAGCTTGCAATTCATTTCAGCTCAGAGCCCAGTATGACATCATTCACCCTATTTCTTATCACAGAATGCTTTGGGTTGGAAGGGGCATTAAGACCATCTTATTCCACCCCCTGCCACAGGCAGGAACACCTTCCACTAGCCCAGGTTGCTCCAAGCCTTGTCCAACCTGGCCTTGGACACTTCCAGGGATGGGGCAGCCACAGCTTCTCTGGGTAACCTGTGCCAGGGCCTGCCCACCCTCACAGGGAAGAATTTCTTCCTAACATCTAAACTTGCCCTCTGTCAACTAAGTTTGGGTAAAGAGAAGAGTTTCCCATCATTGCCCCTACTAAAGAAAAAAAAAATCGTAAGTTGTTTACCTACTTTCCAAATCACAAGACCTAATTCCCAATATATATTAAGAGCTTTTTGTAAAAGTATGTGGTGGTAGTTGATAATATGTTTGAAATCCTCATTAAATCATGTTAAGAGAAATCACTCCCTGCAGTTCTTGTGTGTTTGATCAGATTTTCAAGGCATAGTGGGAAAGCAGAATCACACATGAACATGGCAGGCAGAGATCCTACCCATGAACCTCCCTATTCAGATGCAACATCTGGTAGGGATGCAGGAGAAACTTCTGATGCTTTCCAATGTTTTGGGCTCTGGTGCAACAGCCCCTGACAGAATTTGTCCCACAGTTCACACTGTGAGGGAAGTTACTACCAGAAACACAACCAGATCAGCTTCCCAGAGAAATATAAGGGGCTTTTTTGAAAAAGATGTCATGTTTCCACCAAAGTGATCACTTAACTCAATGGGAAAACATAATTAACGAGAACACCTTCTAAAAGCTGATTTTCAGCAGCCATTTAGCTGATTTAGCAGATGATTTAGCACTCACAGTTGCAAATCCACAGTCCACCTTGCTGATTTTCTCTATTGACTCCACTGCATCTCTTCCCAGTTCCAGGAGTGTGGGATCTCTCGTGGCACGGTACAGATACATTGCACTCTCAATCAGCTCTGCAAAAACACTCCAGACATTTGCAAGTACCAAAGATGACCAAACCACACACACAGGGATGATGAGATGCTCCTTAGCTAATTTAAAAAACCTTTAGGATGATTGGATAAATAACCTAGTTACTGAATTTCCTCTGGCTCCAAGCACAGATTTGCTTTTCCTATGGATGTGCTACTAAGAAATTCCCTCTACCCAGCCTGGATCAGCTCAGGTAAGAGTGACTAATCCTCCCTCCCACATTCAGTGAGTGGGAGGAGGAGCAAGAGAGAAGAAGATTAAAACTCAGTTGTCAAAGGAAGAAAAAAAATTGCTTCTAGAAAGGATTACAAACAAGAAATTTAATTTTAAACAATACTGTAAGTAAGTCTTTTGAAACAGGGGTATCCAAAACATCATGAAAACAAGCACCATGAAAATACTCCAAACAGGCAACATATGCACTTCACTGTGTTTACTTACTAAGATCTTTTTGGATGCTATAATTAATCTGAAAGTTAATGCTGATGAGTATTTTTGGTGGACTTGTCCAGTGTGGATGTCACCTGAACACTCAGACCAAAAGGAAACTAATTATTCTCATGTACAAAGTTTTATAGACCTAATGATCAGATTCGATTTTTTTTTTTTTTTTTTTTTCTGGTCAGAGTTGTAAAAAATCAGAAAAAAAGACCACTTCATTGCAGCATCACAGACCACACAGAATCTCACTTAGATCCTGGGCTTTACTAGTGCAACCAGAACGAGTTTATTTTGGGAACTCAGCAGTGCTCTATTCAAACTCACTTTCACTTCCTAAATTTAAAGGACACAATCAGTCCCCTTTAACATTTCACGTGACTGAAACTTCCCATGTCAGACCATCTTAACACTTAAACATGTCAAATCCTACACTACGAACCCAATTCATTAACAGGCTTCCTTTTATGGTAACATTTCCCTTCCTTTCAAGGCAGCCCTGTCCTTGTGAATGGTGGAAAACAAAATGTGCGGTTTTGACTCCACAAACTCCTGGTGAAATCCGTGAAGGAACTGAGTCAGAGCAAAACTGGGGGAGGGATTTGTGGAAGGCAGGTATTGCTAACACTGATCTCACCACCACAGCAAAAGCAGGAGCCCATGGCCCGTTTCATTCCATTGCTGCTTACCAGGCCTGAGGGGATATCCCTCTCTCTTGTCCACTGTGTAGCCCTGGGGAATGTTGTAGAACTCAGGCAGCCCCCCAAACTGCTTCCAGACAGTGTAATAGTTGAGGAAGGTCCTCATGGCGTTATCCACATCCCCAATTAGGCTCTGGGAGAGAACAATTAGCAAAGCCACATGTGAGTGGAGAACAAAGAGCAAAGGAATCGATGCAGTAACACTCCTGCAGGCAATGCAGTGACAAATGGTTATTTCAGAAGGTCTGAATGGTGGAAATAACACTTGGATATGATGCCTTAGGAACAGGAAAGACTGAAGAGTTACATGCTGCTTTTCTGCTGGATCACATTCCCACACCTGAAGTAATATGAAGTCTCTTTGATTTTTTTTTTTTACAGAAGATTATGTTTCTTCAGCCAAATGTTTAATCAGTCCCAGCACTGAGCGGCGATAAAAAAGTCTCAATCTAAACACAAGGACTGATGAGCAAGCAAAGCACTCAGCGGGAAAGCATTCACACAAACAAAGCATTTATGAGGTGATGGAAAAGAGGTGTGAATTTCTTTTTCCTTATATTTACATCTGGATTATGAGACCACTGTCAGTGGACTTGGCTGCAACAAAACTGCCCTCCCACGATGCCGAATGGGAGACTTTTTTATAAACTGTAGATAAAAATCAACATCTGCTCTTCCACAGGCACAGATTTCACCAAAGGTCCAACCAAACTTTTACACCTGCACAGATGAGGGTTATATTTTTAACTTTTATATTAAAGATTGACCCATGACAGGTGAACAAAATCACCATATGTTCTGACAGCTCTTACCTGCAGGCCTGGCCAGTAGGCCTCCAGGGACTGAAACACAGGCATGGACACTGTTCCTTTGTACATTTGAACCCACAGGTACCAGTCATCAAACTTGGTGTAATTTTTGATAGCTTTGTTATATTCTATAAAGAAACACAGATGGGTAGGTAAGCCAACAACAACAAAAAAAAAAAAATCCAAAAAAACCAACCAAAAAAAAAAAAACCCTTTCTTTTTCACAATGAGAATAACTTTGGTGATTCTGTCATCACAGACTGCTCAAAAGTATCACAGCAAAGGCTTCAGAAACATTCTTGAATGTATCTTGTGAGATCCTCTATCCACAGTGTCCAGTGCTTCCTACAGGTGCAGCCAAGCACTGCTGGGCCCCTTCAGACAGCAAACCAAACACTCACCCAGAAACATGGACATCAGCTCCTTGTCCTGCAGCAGAATGGCTCCTTTCACCAGGTACTCGAAGTAGGAGTCCACTCCTGCCCCAATGCCAGCATCCTGGGCCACCCACTTGGCAGTGATCACATCAATGTGGTTCCCCACCTGCAGGAGGTGAAGGAGGGAGTTAAAGTGAAAATAAAGCATTTCTACTAATTTGGAATTAACAAATACCCACAACACCCCCCCACAAGAAACCCTTGACCTTTTCCCAGACCACTGGTTCCCATTCCAACCGGCATTTTCTTCATTCAACATGGGTGTGGCTGGTCCTAATTCTGATCATACAAAAGAGTAAAGAAGGATGAAGAGGTGAAAATACAGAGGTGGAGGCCAAGAATATCAAAGGCACAAGAGCTGCCATGGTAATATTTAAATAGACCCTTCAGACCTGGGACTCTTCAGCCTATGAGCAAACCCAGCTGATGAATAAAATACACAGTCATGCCTTGCTTAACAAACATGAAAAAAAAATAGCTATTCAGCTTCTTTCTTGAATGAGGATTAGGGGTATAAACCAAAAAGAAACAAATCCCAAAGCAAAGAAAAGGACAAACAAAGCTCTTCATACAGCCTGTGAATAAATCTGTTTCAATAAACACAGGGTATGAATAAATCTGTTTCAATAAACACAGGGTATGAATAAATCTGTTTCGCTTCACATCTGCAGCACCAAATTTTCCACACAGGCTAAAAAAGCAGCAATAGAAAAGACCAGGAGTCAGTGAACACTGAGGTGACACATCCAGCTCTGGATATTCCTAAAGCAACAAAGTTATATAGGCTGGGAATATCCTGGTGCACTTGCCATGCTCTTATTCTCTTCCCTAGACCATTGTCCCACCAGGCATTAGACAGACCTTCTATTTTATCTGCTACAGCTGCTGTTACAAAAGCTGCAGTACCCAGCAGGAGGGATTTGTCTCCCAGTCACATCTGTTAGGGGACAGAACAATGGGATAATGTTGGGCTGCACTGGTAAAGCGGAGATGTGGATGCTGCAGGTGTTCAGGAACAATGTCAAACACGAGACTTTAGCCCAGTTATGGGCACTGTGGTTATTTATCCAATTCTATCTCCTCTCTGTTTATGCTTTTTTTACACTCAGCATTGCATCCCCAAAACCATACAGAAAGCAGCCAGCACATTCCAAGTCCGTCCTTCACTCACCAGCCCAATATCTGAGCGATTTTTCCACAGGGCCTTCAAAGCCTTCCTGGCCACGTCCTCAAACACTGGGTCACCAGTGAGGTGGCTTAAAGTGGCAAATTCCACTATAAATGTACCAATCCCAGCAGTACAGGTAACGGGGGTCTCCCCAGGGTTGACTCCATGCAGGAGGTTCACTGTGCCATAGGGCATTCCAGTTGGGGTCTGGAAAGCTGAAACACAGGATTTTTGGGTCACATGAGTGTTCAATGCCATGTTTAACAGACTCTCAAGCTTCACATCCCACTGCACACGGGCAAGGAGTGGGACTGGAGCAATTGCAGTGACTTTAAAGAACACAGTGAGCAGCAGTGCTGCTCTGGGAGGGGCAATCCCAAGGCACACACAGTCCTGGGAAGGTACTGTGGATCTCTTCCACCTTGCCAGAGCAGCATCCCTACTTTGTTTCCAGCAAAGTGCCAACACTGAGGTTGTGATCCCTCCTGGGTGGACAGTGCCATGCCATCAAGGAACACATCCCAGCTGCAGCCCCCAGAGAGGAGATAAGGCTGCATCTCCTTGTCATTACAAGCTGCCCTTTCACAGCCTTTATTTATTATTTATATTAAGTACATTTCCCCTCAGCAAGCCACAAACTGACGTGTTAAGCCCCTGCAACACTTGATATGCACATATACAACCACATTCTCCCTGCAAACTAAACTTGCTTTGAGCTCAGGGAACACAGGGCTGGTTTATGAGCTGACACATCAAGTTGTGCATGTCCACCAAAGCCAGCAGCCACCTCCTGACCCACAGCACAGCGACACAAAGCAGACAAGGGCTCACCTGGCAGCAGTTTTCGAGCTGCTTCCTCTGCCATCCTCAGGAGAGGCCCCGAGCACGGCCAGCCCGCCTCGACTTGCACACCAGCCTTCCTGGAGAGCAGGTGGGCAGAGAGGAGCCCCCCCACCACTGCAAGGGCACAGGAGAACCCATTTAACAGTGTGGAAGGAATGAAATGCAGCACCAGTTATACTCCTCTTTATCAGAGGCACGGTTTTACAGGGAAGAGAGGTGAGGAGGCTCATCCTTCCCAGCCTCGTTCAAAGTGACAGAGGGCAGGGTTAGATGGGATATTGGGAAGGAATTCTTCCCCACGAGGGAGGTGAGGCCCTGGCACAGGCTGCCCAGAGAGCTGCGGCTGCCCCATCCCTGGAAGTGTCCAAGGCCAAGTTGGAACAACGTGGGGTAGTGGAAGGTGTCCCTGCCCCTTGGAAACAAGATGGTCTTTAAGGTCCCTTCTAACCCAAAACACTCTCAGATTCTATGATGTATTTCTTTAGAAGCATCAGATCCTACTTGCCCTACTACAGCTGCACTGCCCTGAGGACTATCAGGGTATATACAACATGATACAACAGTGTAATGAACACAAACCTCTGTGAGAGGAATTCTGAATAATTTCTTCCAGAAAGTTGAATACTATGTTTGTGTAAAGTTCTTAAACTCCTTGGAGAAAACTGCCCAGGCCAGAGACACAACTTTCTGTGTGACTGACAGAGGCAGGGAGTTATTAGCTATATTTAGCTGTTAGTTTTGTATTGCTAACATAGCTATATTAGTTAATATTAGTTATTTCACAGGTTTGTCTACAGTAACAATAACAACCACAAACACAGAGAAACTACACTGCTGTAAAATTGGCTCAGCAATATCTGACAGAAGAAACAACAAAAGCACAACTAACAGTTTTGTACCCGGACAGTGTTTTTAGTTGGATGGCACTGAAGCAGTCAGGAATTCAGTCAGGTGCAAGACTCCAAAGGCCTTTGTGATTTTCAAGGAGAAAAGGCTAAAACTAGAAATTAATAATCTCTATTCCAAAACAGCGTGTGAAGGAAGAAAGGGTATAATCTGTCCTGATTCAGTGGAAAAGATGTTTATTCTAAGGCTCAAAAACCTCACACCAGAATATTGAAACTGCCACGTCTACTTCTGTTTCTGTCGGGGCAGGAAGCTGAGAGGGACATGCAAAGACACAAAGGAAGTGAATTTCTTTGGGATTTTTCTGCCTGTTTACATGTCCTGTTACTCTGCAGCAACAACTCCCTGTGACCACCACCTCACATTACCCCTGTGTGCAGCTCAGAGGCTCCCACAGAAAGGAAACCCATCACAAACCCCCCAGGAAAACCCACCTCACCTCGAATGTTGGTCTCAAAGACAGATGCATTGACATCAATATCGAAGTCCACCCCTTCCTGCAGCACACTGACAACTCTCTGGAACTCAGAAACATTCCCAAGTATCTGCAGGGGAGTGGGAGAACAGGGAACAAAGCTCAGAGTTCATGGGAAAACAGGTGGCAGTTCAGTGCTTGGGGCTGATTCTAGTTTTGTTTTGCTATTTTGTGAAATCATAAATTGCAGACAGTACTAAAAAGGGGACTGATGGTTTAATTGTGTTTAAAATGCTTTCTTGACACGTTTTAGGGCTTTATTGCAGAGTTAGGAGGTGTAAAGGATGGAGAGCTCTGGCCACCTGCTCCCCAGGGGTGATGCCAAGCGAAACACAAAGCTCCAGGGTCAATAAATAGCTGACTTTGTGTCACTGCCACGTAAAAAACAGGTGTGCAGGCAGCTCCCAATGGCCTTGAGGGCACAGTGTGGGTGCTGCAGGTGTTCAGGAACAATGCCAAACACGAGACTCCAGCTCAGTTACAAGCACTGCGGTTATTTCTCTAATTCTCCCTCCCCTCTGCTTATGTTTTTTTACACTTAGCGCTGCATCCACAAAACCATACAGGCTCCTACTCACTAGCAGCGTGTCCAGGGCGTCGATGAGCGTGAGGGAGAAGCTGTGGAGGAGGAGAGAAGCCAGGTGAGACCCGGTGGGGGAAGGACCCCGCTCATCCCCATCCCCACCGCGGGGACACCTCTCACCTGCCCCAGGTGTCCTGCCCGTCGCAGGTCAGCGGCCGCAGCTCGTCGTAGGGGAAGGCGCTCTCCAGGTAGTGCTCGTAGGCGTGGTAGAACATTGCCCGCACCCTCTCCCTGCAGCACAGGTACACCGAGCTCAGCTCAGCTCAGCTCAGCTCAGCTCAGCTCAGCTCAGCTCCGGCGCGGCCCCCGCCCCGCCCGCCCCGCACTCACCGGTACGAAGCCACGTCCAGCCCGCGGGCGGCCCCGGCCGGGAGCCGCAGCGCCCAGAGGCACAGCAGGGAGCCGAGGCAGCGCAGCGCGGCCGCGCCGGGGCCCCGCATCGCCGGGGGAACCCCTCCTGTGGATCCTCCGGGATCCTCCTCTGGATCCTCCTCCTCTGGATCCTCCTCCTCTGGATCTCACCTGGATCCCACCCGGAGCCCTCCCCGCTCCCCCACCCCGCACCCGCCCCGCCCCTGGCCCCGCCCCCCGGCCAATGGGAGCGCGCTCCGCCTGTTCCGGCCCCGCCCCCGCCGCGCCCGCCAGCCAATGGGAGCGTCGAGCGCTCGGCGCACGCGCTGGCGGAAGCGCTGGGCGCGGCGCGGCTGCATCCGGGGAGGAGCGGGGATGGAGCGGGGATCGGGGGTGTTGTTGGGGTTCTGGGGCTTCGGCTGCGGGAGTTATCGCCGGGATTGCCCTCAGAGAACGATGAGAAGTTCCGGCGGTGCCTCCCCGGAGGCAGTTGCGCTCCTGCGTAGGGAAGAGCCTCCCCGGGCGGGTGGGAGAGCGGGCAGCGCTGGAGTGATGCTCTCACACCCATAAATAAAGATAACGAGTGCTGCGAGGCTCGCGCAGTAATGAGGTGTTGCCGGAGGAGGGCTCAGCTGCTCGGGAAGCGATTGCCCCGTGTGGGGTGAGGGGGTGGTGTGAACTACACAGCGAGGCACCAGAGCACGTCTGGAGGGGTCACTTCTCCAGCATTCATCTCCCTTTTTTGCCTTTTTGTTTTTGCTTTCAACCTAAGACCATTTCCAGAAGCACTGGCACAGGTTGCCCAGAGAAGCTGTGGCTGCCCCATCCCTGGAAGTGTCCAAGGCCGGGTTGGACGGGGCTTGGAGAAACCTGGGATAGTAGATGTCCCTGCCCATGGCAGGGGGTGGAATGAGATGGTCTTTAAGGTCCCTCCCAACCTAAACCACTCAATGATTCTGCCATCAGCGCTGTGGCTCAAACCAGAAAAGATTCCAAAGCCTGTATTCCCAGTGTGATCACGCTGATTTTGGCACCCTGCTGTTTAGCCAGGTTGAATTTTAACATCAGAAGAATTGGCAGAGCCCTCCCTACACCTACACCTTTAGACTTGTTATTGATCCACAGTAAATCCTTGCTGTTCTCCCTATCCATGCCCATGGGTGAAAAGGGGGGTGACCTGGGCAGGTAGAGCAGGAACAAGAGGAAAACTGATAAACCAGCCCTTTGCCTGGCAAAGGTGCAGCATTTAAAAGTCAAAACTAACCCACTTTGCTTGCAGGAGAGGAAGGGGCACAAATAACCCAGCACTTGGTCTTCTCGTGGCATTTGTAGACTCATGGAATGGCTTGGATCGGGAAAGACCTCAAAGATATCTAATTCCAGCCACCCCACCATGGGAAAGGATGTTTATCATCTGGGAGGGCTGTCTGTTGATGTTCTGTAACAAAATAAACCCAGTTTCCCCTCAGCTCCCAGCCCGGGGCCATCCCACTAGGTGTCAGTGCACACCCAGATACCAGTGGCCCAAACAAAAAAGCCACCGAGTAATTTAAACATATTGTTCATTTGCTGCAGCTGTAATTTGGGTTTCTGGGACCATTTATCATAAAGCTGTCTGCTTGCTTATTCTGTGGCTCAAGGCTGCTGGAGGATATCTCGCTGTGTTCCTGGGAAAAGTCAAACTGCTGGAGCTGATTTCACCAAGAGCTGCCACAGTCCATTACTGGGGTGCTTTTTGTTGAAGTTCATTTTCCAGACTTAAATTTAACAGTGTTCTAGAGCACTGCCTTTTACCTTCTACTGGAACAGCAATTTCCCTATCAAAGTCAGTTATTCAGTTCTAAAAGTTGACTGAAGCCTTTTTGAAACACACACAGGTGTGAGTTGCAAGAAAAGCGGGACAAGGCGGAGGCAGAGCTGTGTCCCTCCTGGCATCAGAGGGAGAGCTGGGAAGGTGGGATTGCTCTGCCACCGAGGCCAGGGAGGAGAAGGACTCCAGGGAGGCTAATTGCACTAATTAAAAGACCAAAACAAGGAGTGAGCACAGGGTGGGGTAAGTGGGACTGAATCCAGGGATTGATCAGAGGCTGGGAGAGTCGGCTGGGTCAAACAAAGCTGGTTGGCAAAAACTTGGAAAAACTGCTTTTGGTGCAGTGCTCACCACCCTCCTCACCCTTTCTGAGAGCACTTTTTTCATCCTGGGGTGGGTTTGGAGGGCACAGGGGGCTGTCTCCTCCCAAGCAACTCCTGTCACGAGTGGACTACAAGCCCTGCTGGAGCAAAGTGACTGTTGTGGCCACCACAAACCCCATCACAGAGGGGCTGAGAAAACTCTGGAGAGCTGAGTGGGAGCAGCTCCCATTGCCAGAGGGGACAGCACCGTGGTCAGGGTGTCAGACAGATGCTGCACAGCCCCTGAGTGTTGGAGAGACAGCAGCTTCCACATGGTGCTGTGGAAATCACCTGTGTGCTTGTTAATAAATAGAGCTGGTGGGATGGAAATTATCTGGGGGGTGAAAGGGTGGTTTTCACTGTGGCTTATACTAGAGGATATTAATGTGGTGTGCACAGAATATCTTACAGGTTACACAGGCTTTGCTGCTATAAATCAGAGGAGATGCAGGGGAGTGGTGCTTCCAAATGGACAGAGCACACAGTTGCTAGAATATTTAGGCCACAGCAGAGTTAAGTGTTTCTTCAGATGCCTCACTCCAGCTTGTCAGGCTCTCTGTCTTTGTGAAAAAGTCCACTGGAAAAATAATAGGAAGTTTGGGTTGGATGTGGGAGAGGCTGTAATTACAGGGGTGTTTAACTCTTTGTTTTATGGCATCTTTAGGCTCAGGACATGTTTACTACCTGCTATTACAGTAAGTGGTGCTGTTGCCCTACTTGCAATTTTGATGCCCATTTAGATGGAAACTGTATGTAAATTGGGATTGCTCATTAATATTCATAATTCATGGTGGGATGTAGATGTTTGTTTAAACAGGAGGTTTACGACCACTGAAAACTGTTGGCTAAGGTGGCTCTCTTGAAATAATTTTCCTTTGCAGCCCAACATCAATTCTTAATTTTAGTAGCACACGTAGCAGGATGGAAATGATGATTGATTTTTCTCCAAGTGCTGTGGGCTGCTTCAGTTGAGATTTCACTATAAAGGACTAGACATTTCCAATTGCTTTTTATAAGTTGAGAATTGATTTTATTTGTTCAGCACCTGACTAAGATAATAAAAGAGAAAAATACAGCTGGGTAGAAGGCATAGAAAAGTGATGAGCTGCCTGGTTTCTGGCCTTTTTACAGGTGATGTGTTTTTAAGCCACACCACTTGTGCACTGTGTTCACGAAGGATTGTGGCTCTGTACAGAGTCTGAATATTTTATGCCAGTTTGGTTTGCTGTGCGATTTTGACAAGTGAGAAAACAAAACTTAAACCCAGTTACCATCCCTGGGCCTTGGTTTTTGCCGTGGGGATTTTGGGCACCCACGTTGCCTGACACTGTTCAAGTCCAAAACTGCCACGCTTGTGTGAATGAGGTTTAATATTCCTTATCCAAGCTGGGATAAAGGATTTCCCATGAGGATTGTGGCTTGGATTTTTTTTTTTTTTTTTTTTTTTTTTACCAGGCAGATTTGGAGGTGTTCAGAGGAGTGGTGTCTGTAGAACACAGACAGGCAAACAGGGGACAGGCAGCATTTCCCTGTGACATAAATTCACTGTGTCCCCATGGCCAAGGAGCAGGAGAGAGGTGTGGGTCTCTCTGCTAGAGAGTCAGGGGTGTTGTCCGCACAGGGACTGACTTCTCCATTGTTTATTTTTCTTGGTGGGCTTGCAAAGGAAAAAAAAAAAAAAAAAAGAGGCCTAGAAGGGTTCTTCAGCTTTGCACAGGATGGGAAAGGGGTGAGGAGTTTCATTAGTAGCTCCAGCTCAGCCAGGATTTGGACTTCAAAGTTCAAAATACTTCTGTGTCTGGGAGAATCCCTCACCTTCCACATGCACATGGTGAATGTGGCGAGAAGGGCTGAGCTCTCAGAGGGAGAGAGGCAATGAGAAAACCCTGCTGTGGCTCTCTGGAAACACAGAGAAGTGGCAGAGACATTTTATTCCCTAGTTTATGACTGTGTAAAACAAATTCACTGAAACTTGTCAGTCAACAAGGATCTCCTGCTGTTGGGTAAAGGTCAGGACACAGGTGAGGTTGTTTCCCAGGGCAGGAGACAAGGACTGTGTGACTCCACACTGGTAACTGCTGCCCAAGGGGTGTGAGTCTGGGGGGAAGTGGGTTTGGAGCTGCTGAGGAGATTTCTTTGGTATTTGGGAAAAGGGAATTTTGTCCTGAGGTTTTGAGGAGGGACAGTGGAGGAAGGGGGGCAGTCTGGGCTCAGGCACAGGAGCCTGAGTGACAGAGGCTGACACTGTTCTTGGGTGTGACCATGAGAACAGCACAATTGATCTCTGCAAATGGTCATCAATGGACGTGACTGGTGGTGCTTGGAAAGGGGATGGTTTATAGTGGGAAGGCAGAGCAGAGGGAACCCCTAGCCCAGGTTTCAGTGACATCTCCCATGGGGTTGCCTGCTGAGCAGGGCTGGCTCACAGGAGCTCTGCACAGGAGCCAGAGCCAACCAAAAAGCACTGGTGCCTTGTCCTGGCAGGGTTTGGGTGAGACCCATGTGCTGGCCACACCTCGCTCCTCCCTGCAAGAGGTATGATGATCTGGGCAGTGAAGTGCAAACACAGCTCACCTTGCTGTCTGTCCTTTCAGGGATCCATCACCTGGCTGTGAGAGAATTCCCAGCTGGGGTTTCTGGAATAAATACCTGGCTTTTTGGTCTGTGCTGTTGGCACTTGATGTCTTCAAAACTTGCGTCCTCCCTTCTGCACTCCCACACTGAGTAACCCCCTCCTGGTGAGGTCCTGGCCACCCTTCCTGGGGATCTACATAATGGCATTTTCAGTGTCTCATCCATGTTTGATGAGGAGGATTCCAGCAGCAAGCTGATTTCCTTAAAAGCTCCACTCTGCAGGTGAGGAGGTGGCTCCTGACCCTGTCCTTCCTGATGCTCATTCCCACTCAGCCATTTTCCCCTCCCTCAGCGTGGAAGGAG